AAACCTGTTTAAATACAGATTGAAAACATGCCTATTAAGTGTTGCCCATGGCGATTGATTGTATTTTAACTACTTTGATATATATTATGTATTTGCATATATTTGTATTTATTGATTTGTTTTATTATGTTTATATTGTTGGTGTTGCTGGGAGGCACATTGAGTTGCCTTGTGCTGTAAGAATAAATTAGCCTTGCATTAATTTTTCATCATTCTCAGCCTAATTCCTTTGCCTTTTTTCACTTGATCAATTTATTACCACTTTTTGTGGTAAAGACAGAACAAATACCTGATCGAACCAATCGGACCGATCCATCTGCTGATCTGACTAACCATCCAGACAGCTGATCAAACCCTAAACCCTTAATTCACCCGACTTTAAACAAATCAATCCTCCAGCGATTGGCCCAAATACATCTGCAAGCTCAGTCATTCATACATCCCCTCAGCCAACCGACAGACCGCCCCTCCTCCGGTCCATCCACCCACAGTCTGAGTCATATGAAATGTATTTCTAAAGATTTAACAGGTAGAAGAAAATGGTTGTTTTGTCTTTTAAGATTTGAGAAAATATGGAGTGCAGAGCCAATCTCTCTTTTTCTATTACAGCCTGGCAGATTGGGATCACTGAACAAAAATAATTGAAATGTAATCCATTTTCTTCCACAAATATCTCATTCTTTTTCTTTTTTTCCTCACAAGGAGAAAATTGAGCTTGATTTCTTTATTTTCGCAGAAGCAGCCGTCGGCCTTTGATTTTTACTGCGAGTTATAGCCTGTTTTATTGCCTCTAATCCCATACAGTGGTGCTTGGAAATTTATGAATGATTCCTATTATTATTTTTTTTTGATCTCACAATTTTTATTCCTAGCAAAAAAGTGATGTAAAGCCGTCAGATTTTCCAGCTCAACAAATGAGAGGAAACGTCTCAGCTGGTGATTATATGAGGAAAAAAGGCCAAAACGCTGTGAGGCTCATTACTTCATAAAAACCCATTTAAAGGTCTGGAATACTGATGACTTTCCCCATAAGCTGTTCGCATCATTTCCGTCATTACAATAAAACTTAGAGGGCCTGCTATTTCTAAACTTAAACTACCTTTTGGTTCAGCTATAAAAACACTTCATATCATGCATGTTTGAATCACTTTTTGCTCAGTAAACAAACCTCAGTAAACGTCCTTCTGCTATTTTTCTGATTAGGGAAGACTGATCACTTGCTCTGAATATGTAAAGTTTGTGTCGTGAGTAGAATAATTTGACTTAAAAGCATCTTAATCAATGCTCGATTACGGGAATTATTCAAGCTTTAAGTGCTCAGCGTTTCCTAATATAAAGCTTTTTAGAATTTGTGCTTTTTTTTAAAAAGAAAATAAGGAAACCTTAGCTTTGTTGTTTCCTGCTCATCCATTGTGTGTAGCTCATTCACTTCAATGATAAATATTCATTTGATAGGTCATACTAGCTTTGTCCTCTGGT